CCCAGTATGTCCTCCTCCTCTCACCATCACTCCTGACTCCACTCTATCCCTCCTTTGACGTCGCTTGCTAACCCAAGCAGCCTTCTACCTCAAGCACAACAAGCAATCCAAGCTTTGGAGCGTCTATCTCTGTCAACACGGAAACGATCCGGAACCTGTCTATTCCCTCCGCTACCCGGATCCTTCCTCCCCTTCCTCACACAACCGCTATGCCTCCGCCCTCTACGACCCCTACGTCTCCGACATCCTCTTCGGCGAGGTCCTGATCATCCCGGAATGGACTCAACCTAGTCTCTCTGCGGAGGCCATCCGCCAGAATGGCGGCGTTCCACCCCCTCCAGAACCCATTCTTCCATCCCGCTTCACCATCAACCTCTACAACCCCGACCAGCAAGTGACGGTGCACTTCAAGCCCAAAACCTGGAACAGCCCTGCGACATGGACCTTCGAGATGCCCCAGCACAGCTTCCGACAGCCCTCTGCATCTACCCTCGATCGCACCCACCCCGACCCGGCCTCGGCTGATACCACCCCCAAACTGCGCTTCACCTGGCGCAAGGACAGCAAATTGTCTAAAGACCTGACCTGTCTCTTGTCCGGAAAGACGACCACAATTCCAGAATCCAAGACCAAAAGCAAAGAGCCCGATATTACCGTATCCATATTCAAGGCGCTTCGCGAATTGACCCTGTACGAGCCCAATCTCTACCGCGTGGAAATGGAAGACTTCAAAGGTCTCGAAGTCGTTCTCCTCCTTAGCGCAATAACCATCCGCGACGTATACTTTGCTTCCATGAAAGACGCATTCCACGTCACCAAACCTGCTCACATGACGAGTACACCATCCCCGACCAAGACAAATACCAAGCCCCTCCCCTCCGTTCCAGCAGCGTCAGGGGCACTTAACGCCGTACAGCCAAAGGCCGAACCCCAACAACCACAACAACCACCCGCTGCATCCACCAAATCAGACCGCCAACGCGAAGAAGAACGACGCACCCAGCAGCTCCTTGAGGAAGAGGAAAAGGCGCGTCGCAGACGCAAGGCAGAGAGACAGGCCGAAATCGACCGGGAAACTCGTCGTCTCCAAATGCTCTACGGACAAGAGGAGGACCAAGTACGCAGACACAGACAGACGCCATCACTACCACCTCGTCCACAGCAGCCCGGACAAACCCTCCCCTTACGACCAGCCAACCAGCCCCATCACTCTTATCCTTATCAAGACGGTCGTCAACGGCCACAGGCAGGCCCGTATATGACTGCTCCCGGCTTGAATCCGCGGCGCCAATCAGCCGTGAGATTTGCCTTGCCAGCAGAGACACCGGGACCGGCGGCATCATCACCGGCATTGCAGCCTAAGAAAAGTAGTTTCTTTCGATTACGACGTTCATCAGCTGATGAGGCGAAGCTGAGCAAGAAAAGGAGTTCGATGTTTTAGTTTATGACTTTTTTTTTCTGTACATGGCCTTTGATACCCAACTTGCATTCTATTTCTTGTACATAGATCTTACTTACACTTTCTTCTCTATTGATGCTCGAACTTTGCCTCGTTTGGTCCGTCTTTGGTTATGGGATGTCTGGGATTCAACATTGCAATTATCTTCAATAAAGAAAACCTTCAATGGCAAGAACCATACATTTTATAGTCCAAGTAGGCAATACTTCAACCAAGTCAATAAGACAGCCATCATGATACCGTACATCAGCTACTCAGAAGTATAAATGGAGTAGTACCCCCGGGATTACCCATTATTCAAGCGACACCACAAGGTCGCATCAAAGTCCTACTATATCGCACCGTATCCCAAAGCAACCAGTAACCTTATAGTCAATTCCGAGATCTACGGAGTACTAGTAGTGGCAACCCCCAGACAAGGCTGGCGCCCACCCCCAGGTCCAGACATCAAGGGATAGGGACCCATATGATATCAAACCTTACCACAAACTCAACTTACTGTAAACTGCACAGCTACCAATCAACAAACC